TGTGTGTGTGTGTGTGTGTGTGTGTGTGTGTGTGTGTGTGTGTGTGCTTTTGATTATAGAGGCTGCTGCAAGCCACAGGAAAACGTTATAGAATTCAGCTACTACTTGGAAAAGTCAAGTACTTCTCCAAATGTCAAGCTATGGCTTAAGAAGTCTTGGTGATATTTTAGCTTTGTATGTATATTAGCTGGTTCCTACAGTGATTTTCTTGTAATGCTATGCGTGCTTCCTAGAACTCATAACAGTGTATTTATCTAAAATACCTACCAAGCATCCAAGGCCAAACAAAACACCACCTGTCTCCTAGGCCACGGGGATAGCTTTATTTCTTGTGCTATTTAGGGTGAGACCCTCCTTTCTTATACAACTGTACTAATAGACACCTAATCACTTCTAGGAATGCAGACTGAGCACACAGATCCCCCTTTTGATATACTAACCAGTCATTAGCTCTCAGTTGACTTCCTCTTTAACCACTCCCATTTTGGGTTGTAAAAGAAAGCCTGATGGCCACTGCCTGAGGAAAATTCTTACCTGCCTTTATGACCCCCTTAAGAATTCAAGTCTGGTGACCTTGCTCTGCCAGAGGATCACTATGACTTGGGTTTATAACTGAACACCTCAGAGACTGGGGGTGGGGGGGACAGGACTGAGGTATAAGGAGAACAAAGAGGATATTGAGGATTTTGGCTGGAGAGGATTTTGACTAGAGAACTGGAGGTCAGGGTGGAAGATGAGGAAGAGTCAGAGGGGAAAGTTCTAAATGGGTAAGAATGAGATGAGAAGGACCTAGATGAGGCAGAATTGAGATGAGAGAATTAAGATAGAACTTAGAGGGGACAACAGATAAAGGTAGAGACAAATCAGGTAAGAAAGGAGCTAGGCTTGAGTACAGAACTGTGGCTGTGTGGACAGGATTTTACCCCAGAGGAATAAAGTAGACGGACAAGGAGCTTGGTGTATCTAGATTCATTCCTGCCCTGAATGCCTGGTGGAGCTGTAGCTGTAAAGACAGAGTTTTGCATTAGCGGAATAAAGTTAACAGACCTAAGAATATAGTGTACATGGATTTTCCCTCAGATATCCCATGCCAGACATAGCGTATTTTCCGGACTCTGGGCAATCCATAAGAGGCAAAGCGACCAGCTGTCCCATGCGCTACCCACCATGCTTTCTCTGCCATGATGGACTGTATGTAGCCCCTAGAACCGTGAGCTAAACCAGACCCTTCCTTCTTTTAAGTTACTCCCTGCCAGGCATTTGTGCACAGCACTGAGAACAGTAACTAATGCACACCTGCTTCAGTTTGAAATAATAGAGCGATTTCTATAATAACTTCACATGAAATATTTTTTAACTTATATTCCCTATGTGAGACCATAGACTGTTTCTGATGTACACAATTCTGGCTGTGACCAAACTACATCTAGCCCATGACATACCCACAATAAGAAACAACCGAATGGACAGAAGATGGAGTAGCTTTAGATGTTTGGATGAATGGTATCTGGCCTGGCTAATACTCAGATAGTATGGAAAGTCAGGTTCTTGATGGGCTGGGGGTAGCTGTGTGGCATCACTGTGTGGGAGCTGTTCGGGGAGAGGCAAGCTCCCAAGGGCAGAAGGAGAGGGATTTTTTGGAGAGATGGAGAAAGGATGAGTTTAGCTTTGGTGGTCAGCCATCCACATGACCAGCGAGGTCACTCAAGACAACACTGGAAGGCTACTTGTATATTTCACCTATTTACATATTTGTTAATTAATAATCCTACTTTCAGTTTTGGTCCTTTGGGAAATCTGTACCAATTTCACAACTCCATATGAATACATAGCGAAAATGCCAGAGTAATTTCCATTTTTATGTATGTCTTCTGGTTGACATGATTAGAAATAAATATATTTAATCAGATGTGAATATGAATTAGATATGAATCACAGAAATGATAATATAATCAAAGGCAGCAAAATTAGCCTGACATTTAGCTTAAGATGAATTGCCTCTGACAGTTTTCTTGAATTAGAAATCCAAATTCCTCATAAAGAATAGAGGACCATTAGGACCATTCTGGTTTTGGGATGTGACATGAACCAGATTCCAGGTGTCAACATGTAGAAGGGTTAAAAAGGAAATCCACTGGAATGGACCCAGGTCTGTGTTAGGTAGACAGACTAATAGTTCTCTATTCCTTCCTCTCTGAGTATCCTTGCATTGGCCACTGAATTATTTCCACCCACCACAGGAAATGGAGAGCTGATAAGTATGCAATACCTGTGACGAAGATTGGTCTGGGTCATGTTAGAATTAACTAAAGCTATCCAGGTATGCAACATTTCCACTCTGGAGAGTGAGCACCCTCCCCTGGGATTTCCATGTGGAAATAATACCAAGGGCTGAGTCACCTGACCACTCTCTACCACTTCCCTTTCTCCCAGCAGACCGTGAGTTTGACCTTCCCCAGCCGGATCTTCAATGGTTATTCTCACTGGTATCTGGTGCTCGCAGAATGTGATACTCTGGTGTAAGGAGGCCAGCGTCTGTCACATACTGCCTGTGACATGTGGACTCAACCAGTGCACTCTGGGACTCAGCACAAGGAAGGATGCCAATGGCGGATGCCTCTCAGCCTCTTTGTTCACCTTCCATACTTTTTAATCTTCATCTCTGTTCTCCTGATTCTTGTGCTAGACTTGGACATGATGAAAAATCGCTGCAAGGACTTTCCTACAAAACCACTAGTTTTACCTTTCGGTGTAAAAATCTAAAAATTGCAATATCTCAGTAGGGAGATCCCACGAGCCATCGCTAGCCAAGGCCTGGTCCACACGGGTGCTGTCTCTCAGCTGTGGAGGTGAAAGTCAACCATATTTCTAGGCTCCAAGTTTTAGACAATGGGACTTAATCTAGAAACGACTTGCTTTCTGACCATTTTGGATCGCACCATTCCTTCAGACTTACGAGCTAGCACCACTCTGTGGAATTAGTAAAGAGGGCCCAGCAACACAGGCAGCAGGGCTGACTTGTGTCAGCTCGCAGGCAGTATTGGGCCTGTCCAGGATTGCAGTAAGTAATGTTGTAAGCAAAAAAGAAAAATGATCTTTTATGTTGAAGGCTAAAGTTTGCTACATGTGATATCTTGAGGGCCTTTAAAAATACTAAATACTGCCAGAACTGCAATCTAATTTTTAAAAATTGTATTATTATCCTTCATACTAAACCCAGCTTTCCACTGACTCCATAATGAAAATAACCCTTGTGCTCTAAGCCTGTTATTTCCTCCGGGAAAAAAAAATTAAGTGGCAGAATATGCTCCTAAAAATACCCAAACACATATGGCCATTTCTGAATGAGCTGGTGGGGATAAACCTGCTGACAGGAATGGAAGCTTTCTCGTGTGTTGAGCAGCCTGGATAAAGAGTTGTTACAAATGAACAGCAATCATGAAATAAAGAAAAGGAAGAATGTACAAAATTAATATGCCCAAATGTTTTCATAAGACTATCAACGAGAAGCTTAAGTGTCCCTGTACGTCAGCTTTTCTCACAAGACTGCTAGGAAAGATGAGAGGTTCCAAAGCAACCACAGTCAGAGCGTAGCAGGGCACTTCTTCCACACTGATGACGTCAGTAGGTGTAGACTCTGGATAGAGTCTGCATTTCTCAGATATCACTGCCAGAGACTTCCTCCCTCCCTATCAGTGATGCATACCAAACCCAGAAGCACATGTGTTGGCACTGTGGCACAAGAGAAAGACAAGCTTTGTGAAGGACTTGAACTTAAACCCCATGCCAAATCTCTTAAGAACAGAAAACTGGAGAGTCATGGAACTTATCTGATTTTAATTTCCAGCAAGACACCTGGTAGAGATGTCCTCAGAGTTGTGGAGAAAAACCAAATACTCGCCATTGCTGGTGGAATCGATAACATGAGACATTCTCCCATCCCAGGAACCTGCCTCCCCCATCCCCAGCCTCCAGCATCTTCCCCAAACTCACCCATTTGATCCAGCTCTCAATCTCCTCTTCGGGCAGCCGGGACACAGTGCGTGGTAAAAATCGCACCAGCTTCTCTTTGACCATGGAAGAGGTCAGAACATCCTCCTCCTCCACCAGGCTGGCAATCACATCGGCAATCTGCCCTGAGCCTTCCACCACCACACAGGGGATCTTACTTTTGATGGAGGTGTTGATGGCCTAGGGAGGGATAAAGAGGATAAAGAGTTGGACACATGGAAGGGGCTGCAGTGAGCAACACAATCCAGCTCAGGACCAAGGTTCTAAATCAAGGGGGTCCATAAGATGCTTTGACGCCTCTTACTGTCTTTCCCTCTGTGGCTTTTACTTCAAATCAAAATCAAACCAGCTGCAGTGGCTTCATGAATGGGGTAAGTGAGCCAGTTGTTTGACATCCTGAAAAAATGACAAATTCCATAAAAAGGGCATGCTGGTTCACCTTTATCACAGCGCACGCTTTCAGCTACTAACACTGGCTGCTCAGGGCCGGAGCCTGGGGGGATTCTCCAGGCCCTAGCCTGGGGGGAGTTCTGTTCCCCAGACAATGGCTCTATTGCTGCCGCTAAAGGCAGTTTTAACTAAATCTTTATGATTCTAATAAAACTCAAGATTCAAAGGCTAGGGTGAAAACCTGTGAGTGCAGAGAGTTACAAGAACACCTGGCTAACTTTCTTTCTCAGCTGGTGACCCTGGAAGCCTCTTTCCTTCCACACTGCCCCAACTGTCTGAGACAGCAGGCCGGGTGTCCATCCGCATCCCTCAGAGTCTCCCCTCAAGATGTAAGTGCAAGTGCTGGATGGCCACTAAGAGATGTGGGACTGAGGAGCCCAAGAAATATTAGCTCGATGTTAGTCAGCCTCCTGATCTCTCCTGGCCCTGCTTCCCAGGACTCAGTGAAAGATAAATGGCACTGGTTACCACATAGAAAGGTCAGAAAGGTCACGGTCACGACAGAACCCAATATCAGTATCCAGAGCTTTATTAGGAGGGAAAAGGCAGGGGGGGCAGGCCTGGGGGGAGGGAGCAGAGCAGGGAGCAGAGGGCAGAGAGAGAGGGTGGGGGTTCGAGTCCAGCTTTTTAAGGCGCAGATTGTGACCATTCTGATGATGTAAGACGCAGCAGAACCCTAACATTGGGTACAAGCTGCACAGATCTTCGAAGATAGAGACCCCTTCCATTACATCATGGCAGGAAAGAAACATCTTGCCCTCCACTCTAGGACAAGAGATCTTCTTTCCAAATCTTAAGATCCAGAGAAAGAGTAGGCATGCAGCTGTCCTCCAATTCGTCACTCTTCAATTCGCTTATCCACCATCTCTCTCCGCCTCTTTAATCTGACACCACTCCCTGCCTCCTCTCTATTTTTTCTCATTTCTTAATAACTGGAGGATTTCAGACAATACATTTTGATTATGGTCACTCCCTTCCTCCAGCTCCTCCCAGATCATTCCCTGTTTCTCTATCCAACCAACAAGTGGACAGCAAAGGCCCTATAAGACATCACAGGCCAATAAATAAAAAGTCCAGGGACAGGGATGGGTTCCCTCCTGGGGAGTTGTGGGACAGTGAGGTTCCATAGACCCCCAAACACTACAGGGTATTGTACTTGACCGTAAGAGCCTATTGCTAAAGACACCATCCACATGACTTACAGAACATGGAGAAATCAAGCGAATACTGACCTGGAAGCCTCATCTTTACTGACAAGCATTCATGGTGTAGGAAAGTGCTCATCAGTCCTACCCAGCTGTGGGTCCCATGAGTGACAATAGCAACCAGCCTGGCACGTCATGCCCACTGGGACACTAAAAGCATGAGTGTCATGGGAAAGACCAATCACTTCCTGATTGGAATCAAGACCTACTCCACAAGATGGAACTCACATCCAGAATTGTCACTGGAGTCAGGAATCTGTGATGAGACACCCAGACCCTAGGGGAGAACCTATGACTGTCACCCTGCTAAACAGGCATGGCATGAAACCGATTGCTAATGACTTATTGCTATACCCATAGATGAGTGCATCCATCAACCCTATCGAAGAAGCTTCTTTTTGCAGTAGATGATGAGTCCCACGGAGACCCACCCACAGCTGGGCAAAGTGCAGAGAAAGAGAGACTGCACAATGCTTGGCCCTAAGGGGAGCATCTCTTTCATACCCCCTTTCTCCACCTTCTCTTTCTTTGGCTGCTTTTCAACATTTATCTGGTGATCATTTCACACTGAAGAAAAAATGGCCAATTTTACTTGTCCCCTGAAATTTCTTTTAAAACTTTTTTCTTTGAAAGACTCTTGAATGGCTTTTTTTTTTCAACAGCAGCTCTCATAATATCTCATAAATATCTGTTGAATGAATAAACTAAAAGACAGTGGATGTTCCTCTACAATTCCAGGGCATTTTTGCCATCAAGGACTGGGAACTCCAGTGTGCTCTGGTCACTGGGCTAGAGCCAGGAACTGGGTAGGTCTGCTTGTTCTAACCCCAGTTTTAAACTAAAACCAGGAAAGGGGGCATGGGAATAATTAAGAGAGAAGTTGGACATTATTTTCTTATAAGATCTTATTCCTATAACAACAACAACAAAAACCCTCTGGAAGGCAACATATCTAAAAACTAACTACAATGCAGTCACACCAATGTTCATTTCTAGAGAGCCAGAGGCCTGGATTGGGGCAGGTGCAACAGTAACATTAGAACCCATGATATGGGTGGGAAAGCGGAGTCTTGGCCAAGATAGTGCATGTCACAGGTGCAGAGTCTTCCAGGAGCTCACATTGGAGTGTCACTTGGACATGAGATTCCTGTATGTGGAGTCCAGGATCCCAGAAGTTATTTCTGCCTTTCTGAATGCAGCTCCCTAACTTTCTCAGCTGAGGAGCATCCTGTATCTAGAAAAGGACCAACATATGGTGAGAAAACATTTCCTACTTACTTCAGGAAAGAACTTAGGATGGATAGAGGACAAAGTTAAGAAAGCTCATGAACATGGCTTTCAAGAATTTGGGACATCAAAAAGAACCAAATCCATGACTCTGTGGGAGAGAAGAAGGAGCTATGATTAAAACTCAAAACACAGAAAAGCCATCCAGGGAAATTATAGAGAAAAAAAAAAAAAAAACAACTAGGGAGAAGAAGGAACATCCAACACAAGAAGTGTTTTAAACCCTAAATACATATTGTCAGGAAAAACCTTGCCACAGCAAACTAGAGATGAAATGTCAAGGCCACAAAGAAGCAATATCTAAAGTTATGGGGAAAGGCACCAACTCACAAATGCAATCCCATGAGAGATACCAGATGACTCGGGAGAAACCCCAAGTCAGGAAAATCAGGAATGGCAAGCTTCAGTCCCTGGAAGTTAAAAAAATACCTGCCAAAAAGATCAGCATGCCTGAAAAAAATTACCTTTTAAAGCTGAAGAAGGGCGCTAGAGAGATGTTTCTCTCTCCCCTGGTAGCAAAATCAGAACAAAATTTACCGAAGACCTCAATCCCCGACCTGGAACTTTGAACTGGCACAGGAGAACATGGGCAGAACATTTCGAGACACATACGTAGGCAAGTCCCTGATGGAAAGGATTCCAGTGGATCAGGAAACAGGAGCAGGGGTTGAGAAATAGAACTGCATGAAATAAACAAACTCCTCCATAGCAAAGGAAAGTTAACAGAATGAAGAGACAGCTCGCAAACGGGAGAGAAATCTTTGCTATCGATGTGGCTGACATATCGATATCTAGAACCTATCAACTCAAATAGTTAAGCCCCAAAGTCCCAAACTATACAGTCAGCAAATGAGCAACTGAATTCTGAAAGGGAAAAATCAGTAGCCATCTTGAGAGACGCTTCCCCCTCCCCTCCTCCAAAGGTATTTGCTGACCAGCAGTTTTAGAAGTGACCAGAAGTTGAACTTATAAGGCTGGGACAATAAATCTATGTATCCTGGACTTGGCAGAACAAGATATGGGGAGTAATGGGCTCAACTGACGAGAAATTGAACTTATAGGAGAGCAGGACTGGAACAATAAATCTGAATGTATGTATCCTGGGTTCAAAAAAAGCAGGACATAGGGAGTAAAAATTTATGTCTCTGTAGATACCCTGAGTCTTGTTAGCCATCAGTAAACCTCATGCTTATAGTTCAGCCAATAACTTCAAAGAACTACCTCACCCTTAGCCCCCTCGTCCAATCCCAAGCTGCATGTAAACCTTCCTATACAAACCCCTTCAAGTGAGTGCTCAGGGGTGTCCTCCTCCACCCGCTGTGTCTGATGCTGGACGCACCAAGCTTGCTTGTTTTGTTATTAAAAAACCTCTGTGTGCTTGTTGGATAACGGCCCTGTGGTGGTCTTGCGACCTGGGCACAACAAATTCAATGGTTGGTCCTCAAAAGAAAAAATACAAATGGCAAAAAAAGAAAATATGTTTAACATCCTTAGTCCTCAGGAAAACACAGATGAGAACCACCTTGAGAGGCCATCTCAGCGCTGTCAGACTGACCCGCATCAAGAAAGGAAGCGACCCAACACCAGTGAAGGTGCCTGGAAAAGCAATCCTTACACACTTCCAGTGGGCATTTAAATTAGTAAAACAAGTCACTACAGGAATTTAAATTAGTGAAGTAAGTCACTATAGGAATTTAAATTAGTGAAGTAAGTCACTATAGGAATTTAAATTAGTGAAGTAAGTCACTATAGGAATTTAAATTAGTGAAATCACTACAGGAATAAATACAGAGGGACCTCAAAGTACAATCAAAAGCAGAACAACCATATGACCTAGCGTAGCTCTCATGAGTACACACCCAAAGGGACTGAAGTCAGCAGGCACCAGAGACACCAGCACACCCATGATCTCTAGGGTACTGTTCCCAATAGCTAAGATATATAACCAGACGAGCCACCCAAGAGATGGAGGGATAAAGTATTGGATGTGTACACAGGGGAGTGTTGTTAGCCATAAAAAATGAAGCCTTATCATTTGTAGAGAAATTGGTAGAGCTGTGGATAATAATGTTGAGTGAGAAAAGACAAATTGTATTTCCTCTTGTATGCAGAATCTAGACTTACACACACACACACACACACACACACCATAAAGGGAGAACGGACTGTGTGGGGGAAGGAAAGAAGAGACTGAAGAAGTCGGGAGGGGGCAGTTTACTGAACATGAGGAAAGTACAGGAATAACCGTGTGTGAAGAGGTCACGTTGAGACCCATTTTATACACTACCAGGAAATGTAGCTTTCAATGATTAGACAAACCCAAAAGACTGGGGGAGTAGGGGAAGGGAGTGGGGGGCACGCAGCTATTGGGTAAGCCCTTCAGAAAACCAAGCCAGAACTCACTTTCAAAGTCTCTCTTCCACCTCCTTGAGCAAAGCACACGATGGGGATCTTACCACCATAGTTGGAATCTGTAAAACAAAAGCAAAGTCTGTTTTGGATTCCGCTTTGAGGAGTGGGTGTGGCAGGAAGTGGGATGGGGCAGGAGATGGGAGGAGCATCTGAGAGGAGAGCTCCTGGAGTGGGTAATAACTGCTTGGGGGTGACCTTGACCCTGAGCTGATAGATCACAATGAAGGAGTCCCTGTGGCCAGACCGTCAGCAGGGTGGCATGGGTTACTGCTTTTAAAATGCTAAAGTCGGTGCTTCAGTAACATCTGTGGGTTTGATTAGATTGGGCTGAAGTTGGCTCTTATTCTCTCCCTCATTTGTATAATCCCGGGTTTTCTTAAGTGGGTGATAAATTTGCATAATGAGGCATTCTCTCAATGGAGCTTAGTGCATCTATAAATAGCTTCCCAAGCTATCTCTCAGTTGAGGGGAAAACAATTAAGAGAATGTCCTGGAAGGCAGTCTATCACTACACCACAGGACAACCTTGCTCCAAAGCAGGACACCTCTCAGCATCCTGCCCACAGGAAAGGAAGATGCGTGCAGTTTAGCAGATAAGGTCTTACTTACACTCAGTTTCTGCAAAGCCAATGTTTTAGGGGATTCTATTCTAGTAGAGTACAGAAGGAGCCAAACTTAAAACATCAGCTGGCCTTCCAGTTGTGACACTAGTCTGGTGGCTTCTTAACAAGCCTACTGTTGAGTCTCAAACCCAGGTCAAACGGCTGAGCTGCCTATTTAACATAACACTGACACTGGCTCCCAGGTTCTCCCAGCATCCCTCAGTCCCTACCCGTTACAGAGAATGGCTGTCATACCCAGCTCTCTCTCTACGCTGAACTCTCCAGCCCAGGGGCTGGGCAGGGCTGCCCTTCCCCCAGAGGCTCCTCCCTAGATAACCCAGACATTTTGGTTCCCTTCCTCACTTTGTACTTTTGCCTCTTGACGGCTACACTCTGTTCCTCTCTCTCCCCCCTCTGTCTCCCCTTCCCCTTCTACCCAAGGGCCCAGCTCAGTCTGGCCATGTCCACTCTGGACTCTCCCAGATGTCTCTGCCTCTGGCTACGCTCTCCCACATATCTATAATAAACTCCCCCTCCACCATACCTAGGAGTGGTCATGTCCTTTTCCTTCCCTTTTATTCCTATTTTTTTTCATTCATCTACAACTGCATTGCTTCTTAAACACATATTTTTCTATTAGGGGCTTCACTTGTTCCAGACGCCTATAGAAAAAAAAGCCAGCCGGCTCCCTAAATGAATGAATGCAAGAAGGTATCTGTCACTGCCTTCAACACGCTGAAGGACATGTCACCCTGGCAGAGGCACTCCTGGGATGCTGAAGAAAGAGGAGAAATACAAGCTCCTCTTTAGCAGAGAAGACACTGAATCAAGAGGGCTCCCCCCAGCTGTCACCACAACAGCCATGCATGGCTGGCCTCCCGGTTCCTAACTGCTGACCTTGACTGGTCCGCTCAGAGATGTACTTCTCCAGCTGATTTCGCAGCTTGGCTTCCACCGTGGGGTGTCCATGACATCCATTGTCCACCAACAGCAAGTGGGTGTGATTGTTGTCTAGGATGTATAGAGGGTCTCTCTTGAAGTCATCCATGATGTATTGAGCTGAGAAATAGCCCTGCAAAGCACAGGGACACTTGTCTTTGAGATGCAGGGTGACACTATCACGAATGGAGAAGGAGAGCTGTGCTGTCTTTTTCATACGCATATAATGCTCTCGTGACTCAAAAACAGAATACTGATCAAAGAATTTAAAAAAAAAAAAACAGATGATGGAAAGCTAAGAAAATTCTCTGAAACAGATCTAACGTGTAGTAGAGTGTAAGTGTTTCAAACAGCTGTCTTTTCAGGTTGGCTGAGCCTCCATCCTGTTCTGCCCATAGCAGAGAGAGAGACAGCCATAGTGAGCCCTGGGAGCCTGTATCAGAAGATGTGGCCAACAAGATTGTTATGATCACTTTGTTTCATACAGGAGACCTAACACTGTCACCCAGGAAAATAACAGAGAAACCAGGAAGCCAACCACAATATCACAAGAGTTTATGGCAAAACCATGATGTCACTGAAGATTGTCATCGGAAATAAAAAAAAAAAAAAAAAAGAATAAAAACTAGTAGTATAATTTAAGCCTCTAAAAACTATGTCTTCTACAGAAATGAAGACTGTAGCATATAAATGAAAATGTAAATTATGCTTAATTCTAAGAGCCGTGGGTTGTCGTCATCAAGATTTTATGTGCAGTTAGTTATTTTCTATGCATATATCTGTGTGGTTCATAATTTCACGCTTATAAGCATTTCCATACTGTCAAAACATCCTCACAAGTAATATTTTCCTACTTCTATGGTTATTCTTCATTTGTGTGGTAATATGTCTGGACTTCCCTCTTTAGCAATAAATATTACTAGATTATAATATCTAATAATAAATACCAATCACAAGCATTGCTGGATATCTAGATTTATATCAATTCTTCATTATTATTACAAAAATATTTTTAAAGAACATCTTTGCCCTAATATTAAATTCTCTTGGGACAAGTTTATTAATGTAATTGTTGGAATTTCCTATAAACAGTTTTTACACTCCTGATACATGTCTAAACAGTGTTCTGTGAAGAACACAGTCCTGTGCCCCTTCTTAGCCTCAAAAATGGCGACAGAGACAAGAAAGAGAAATATGTTTTCTTAAAACCACAGCCTTTAACATTTACCATCTAAATGTCTAGTGAGCCACAGATGGAATGAGGTATGCACTGAATTTAGATTTCTGAACATCTACCCCAAATGTGAGTGGGACTTGGGGAGTTTCTCACTGTTTCCAAAACGTCACGCTTGGCACACATGACAGTGGATATCATATGTCTACAGTGCATTCTGGACATGATTGGAGGGAGGTCTGCTACCTTCTAAACCAGTTCTCAAGAAACATTTGGTGGTGTGGATCTCAAGGCCTTCTCCTTACTGGCTTAAGGACAGAGAACAACAATGGATCTGAACTCTCAAGAATCTAGCATAGCAGTGCAAGATTGTACCCACAAGTGAACCCTTTTGAGATGGATTGGGATCATAAATTATAAAAACAATAGGCCCAAATCTAACATGAGCTTGCTGGGGACAGATGTTAATGACAAAATGCCTCCACTGTTAGCTCCTGCTTTGGAGTCCCTTAAGTGTGCCCCCCTCCCCCTTGTTTTTTTGACTGCTGAGGTCCATAGGCTGTTCTCCTAGGACAGGCTTTCCCACGATCTGACTCATCACAGAGCCCCAGCACTCAGGCACAGTCATTGCCCTGATCTCTCTCCCACAGCACCTTGCAGACCTCCCTGCCCCACCGGTACCTCATCATTGCAGTTCCTGATGAGGGTGTCCCTGTTGGAGACCATGCCCCATGCCGCTATGCCAATGGCCACGATGTTCTCTTCTGAATTCCTGCTGATGGTGTTGTCTCTCACCACTTCGCCTATGTACTTCATCAGACCGTAGTGCGTGCCTCCTGTGAGAATCCAGGCACCTGTGGACGAGAGCAGGGGAACGGAATGTCACCTGATGCTGAGGAAGGTTTTTGTCCAGTTTCTGGACTCCTAAGGAAACCTTCCTGCCATGAGCTCTAAGAGTCTGTCTGCACTGAGAGCTGGACTATGGGATGGGACCACACGGCAAACAAGAAGAGGGTCCCAGGTCATCAAGGGCTCCTGAGAGGCACGTACTAGAAAGCACAAGTTCTGGGCTCCGTGCTAGATATGCATTCTCAACCTCGACAGAAGGTGGACTCCTGAGTCTCCAGGGGAATGCTTTCATGAACAGTGAACGCCTGGCCTGAGCCTGTAAGAGAGCTGGCCAGCGCATCCAAAGATGGCAGTGTGCTCCCTCTCCAGACCTCATGCTGCTCAGAACAGAGTAGCCCTTCCCAGCCCCAGCAATTCTGCTTTGCTTCCCACAACTTTGCATATTTTTTTTTTTTTTTTTGATTTTTCGAGACAGGGTTTCTCTGTGTAGCTTTGCGCCTTTCCTGGAACTCACTTGGTAGCCCAGGCTGGCCTTGAACTCACAGAGATCCGCCTGCCTCTGCCTCCAGAGTGCTGGGATTAAAGGCATGCACCACCACCGCCCGGCCAACTTTGCATATTTTTATTAAAGGTTTATATCTGATGATCTTCTCAATGTCAAGCATGTTGCAGAGTTTTAATGCAAAATAAAAGAAACAAAAGATCTGTAGGCTTGGGTTTAGGACAGTCCCCACTCGGAGGACACCCTCCATCCTTAGGGCAGTCCCCACTCGGAGGACACTCTCCATCCTTAGGGCAGTCCCCACTCGGAGGACACTCTCCATCCTTAGGGCAGTCCCCACTCAGAGGACACTCTCCATCCTTAGGGCAGTCCCCACCCTGAGAAGTCACTATTTTCTCTTTACTGGTTCTAGCAGTGGAAGACTTCAGAGTCCCGAGGTGGCAGCCGTCCTCTCTAGTTTTTAGAAAGTCCTTTCATTTGCTGTCTGTCTCATTGTCTAGTTTCCTTGCCATCTTTGACAAGGAAGAACTAGGTCATCAGTCACCTCCCACATCAGAGACCTGACAATACTTACAGTGTGGCCCTTAGAAGGTTCAAACCTGATTCCTTAAGCCAGTTCTCAGTGTTCCTTCTTAAAATAAGGTAATTGGGCATGACCAACACCAAGGACTCTGGAGTATCGCCTTCTTCGCTCTGGTTAAACAAATAGCGTCTACCTTGCTATGCTAGTTAGAAATCAACTGTCTTCCAGGCCAAGGACATTTATTCTGTTCACATTGTGTTTACGTGTGTGTGTGTGTGGGGGGGTGTATGTATGTGTGTACCTGTGTGTGTACATGTGTGTATGTGTACATGTATGTATGTGTACATAGGTGTATGTATGTGTGTGTATGTGTTCATGTGTGTGTATGTGTGTACCTGTGTGTGTACATGTGTGTATGTGTACACAGGTGTATGTATGTGTGTGTGTATGTGTGCGTGTGTGTGTACACGTGTGCTTGAGTATCTCTGCTACAGCACGTGTGTAGGTCAGAGTACAACTTTCTGTCAGTTCTCTCCCATCTTGTGGGTTCCAGGCATCAGACTCAGGTTGTCAGCTTGACGGAAAGCACCTTTACCTGCTGAGCCATCCCGCTGGTCCCAATGCCGGGGACCTTCGTGTGTTCTTCTATGTTATTCCCAGGGCCTTCAACAACCCTGGACGTACACTGGGAAATTCAGATCTAAGATGAAGTGTGTTTCCCCAGTTCTGTCTGTCAACGCCCCTTTGCAAAAGAAGTTTCGGAAGTGTTAAGTTCAGGCAAACTGAACTCACTTATGAGAAAGACATCAGCCAAACCTAAGCTAAGATCTGCAGAGCTATTGATGTGTGCTCATCGACATGTGGTGACAGATGAAGGCTGAGAACTAGTGCTGATGTAAGAAAACCAGAAAGATGAAAAGTTACAGGACTTTGGAACTCAAGTGGAGAAAAAGTTTCTTTCTTAGAAAGGTCATTGAGGGGCACAATGACTATTAGTCTCCGTCAATGTAAACTGTCCCTGCCTTGGCTGGAAAATTGAACTGGAGTATACGTAAGGGACTTCCCTCCTCTTTGGAGATGTATGCAGTGAATTTGGGGGCTAAGAGCCATGGTGTCTGCAGTCTACTCTCAAATTATTTTGCCCCAAACCCTAGTACATGAATATTCATAAAATATTAGAAGACAAATGTAGGAACTACCAGCCATCAGTAAATCTAGAAGCATGCACATATGTTCATCATATTACTCTTGAAACATTTCTGTAATGCTTCAAAGTTTTTAAATTAAAAAACGTAAAAAGAGAGAACATACTAAGTTGAATATATGAGGTCAAAGCTACCATTATCTGGGTCATACAACTACACAGTCTTACAACCTATCCTTCAGCCTCTGCTTCCAAAAGTACATCAGTGGTCTCCAAGATTAAAGAGAAATCTTATTAAAATGCTCTTTTTGATTTACTAGAATATTCTGATTAAATTTTTATATGTGTAAATAATGAAATAAAACTACTGGGAGATATTATTTTTGTAATCAAGGTAACCTCCTTAATGCCAACTGAGAGTTACTCTGTAAATTTGCCAACCAGAGCATCTTATCTTTCCACCTACCTGAGAATTTTATTTATAATAATAAAACAACTATATTTCCCCAGGCTGGAGAGATGGCTCAGCCATTATGAGTACATATTGCTCTTGTAGAGGACCAGGGTCCAATACCCAATACCCAAAGCTCACAACTGCCTGTATCTCCAGCTCCAACGCCCTCTTCTGAATTCTGAAGATACTTGCACTCATGTGCACATACCCACAGAGATGCACACAGTTCTAGGAACATCTGGATTCTGCAGGAAAGTGACAAGGGGAAACTTAGTCCTTTGCACCCAAGATGCAGTACAGACTAGGAATAATGATCCCTGGACATTCTCTCAGTGCCTGCGTACCTTTAGACTGTGCGATGTAAATCAGCCGACTGAAGATCTTGCGCATGCGTGGCTTCAAAGCAAAGTTTTTGGCACCACCAGTCACAGAAATGACCAGGTTGGGTGTTTTGAGGTGCCAGTGCTGGGTCAGCAGTTCGTACAGGGTTTCGGAGTCTGTGTCACAGGATAAGCGGATATACTGTGGGGGCAAGATAAAAGCGCCAGGTTTGTGTGCTCTGCCCTGGGGTGTGGGGTGGCTGCCTGCTGCTGGGGCATGGGAGAGGGTGTCCTAGGCAAGGCTGATACCAGGGCCTCTTCCACAAGCCAGATGGAGACCCTGAAACTCCATCTGGCCTTTGAGCTATTGGAAGCAGGGTAGGCAAGAGATGATGAAGGGGTCCTCAAACTGCCATCTTGGCACACCTGGATGAGCCAAGGAGATGGGCAGCCTGTAGGGAAAGTCACTGACCCAGCATGAAGCAGAGCCCCAGACAGTGGGCAGGGACCACTAGGACAGAGCTTGTATACGCATGGGATCAAAGTCCAGTCATCCAGCCTGTGGGCTGAGCTATCACTAAACAAAGCATGGAAATACTTGGAGAAGATGAGTTTCTAATGGAAAGATCCTTGTAAAACTCATGGATGTAAAGAATTGTCACCTTAGTTGGAGCTACAGAATACCCTCAGGAACGCTATCCCCAACTAAAGGGACTACTCACCAAAGTATTCTCCCATCCTCTAACAGGCTCAGCAGTGTCACAGGGACCCACGACATGACTAGACTACAGCTCCAGTCATGACGTCATCCTTAACTACTGATTTTCTGACCGAGCACAATCTAGTCACTGTCTTTTGACTTTTCACAACTTGTCTTCTCCTGCAACGATTGTGGTAATTACCCATGCCCCCACCTCCACGCTCCTGGACAACTCAAGGCAACTAAGGCAGCCCAAGCTCTTAGCACATATATTAAAGCAGAAGGCGGGTGCTTACCTTGCCTTTCTTCCCCAGAGTCTCAAACTGAATGTCACCAAAGGCGTCTGTCGGAAACTCCTTGGTATGTTTCTTGTAGTTCCATTTCTCGTTTTGGTTGATCTGGGTGCCTTCAATGTGCTGGCTCTGGGCATAGCCACACTTGCATGTGTTCTCCCTGAGTCAGTCATGTTTGGGGGAAGCAACAGATTTCCATCTACTTAAATGGCTTGTCACATCTTAGGGTAAACTACGCACTATAAACTTAAACCAACGCAAGAAGAAATTCTGTCACCGTCTCTTACTCCCAGACTAGTTCCCTCATCTCAGCTGATTGTCTAGAAACTAGTTTGGTGTTTTATTCCCATTGCTAATTACCTGTTTGCCAATGAGCTTGCCCTGTGCTGGGAGGAGAGAGGCAGAGAGCAGAGCCCTGCCCTCATGGAGCACATTAGGTGTGGGAGAAGCCACAAAGCTGGTAAGAGGTGGAACTCAGGAATCTGGGAACCATTTGCTCTGCATCTCACATAGTCTGAGCTAACTCACAGGAGCCCAGGCACAGGCAGACATTAGTGCTTTAGTGCCAACCTCGTCAGATGCTGCTGTGGGATGGTCTGTATGTCAAATGCTCTGATTGGTCAATAAATAAAACACTGATTGGCCAGTGGCCAGGAAGGAAGTATAGGCAGGACTAACAGAATTGAGAGAACAGGAAGGCAGAGAGAGACACTGCCAGCTGCCGCCATGACAAGCAGCATGTGAAGATGTCGGTAAGCAACGAGCCACGTGGCAAGGTATAGATTTATAGAAATGAATTAATTTAAGATATAAGAACTAGATAGCTAGAAGCCATACAGTTTGTAAGCAATATAAGTCTCTGTGTTTACTTGGTTGGATCTGAGTGGCTGTGGGACTGGCGGGTGAGAGAGATTTGTCCTAACTGTGAGCCAGGCAGGACCAGAAAAACTCCAGCTACAAGATGCCCAGCAAGTCATGCTCTTCTGAGGCGAGGTAATTTCTTTCCATGAGCTGCACTCATGGGGGAGACATTGTCCCCTGGCACAGGCCCAAAGTTCTCCAGAGCTTAGAAACCACCTTTCTCTACCAGATGGTAAGTGCTTAGATGACTTTGGGCTAATAATAGTTTGGCCTAGACAAGGAAAACTGCCATAGTGAGCATTAGCTCTTCCCATTGGGAGTGCAACAGAATTCAATGTTAACTGCCCACTCAGGGACACATATGCATGACAGGAAGCTGAAAGAGGAGAAAAAGACACACAGTAAGTGGTGAAGACTATCCTCTCCTTCTACAATACTCTGTAATCATTTTAACAGGTGTCTGAGAGCACTGCTTACGATAAAATAACATCTGCAACATCCCAGCTGAGACTGATGTGATTTCCTGCCCTCGAGTTGCTCTGAGTCTCCTGGAGTGGCTAAGTACAAATATGGCAAAGATCATGGAGGGTCCAACCAAATGCCTCCTTTTGGAGGAACTCCTGGCACAGTCCCTCTCCTGTCTGCCATGCTGTGAGGGGCAGGAACGGTGCAAAGCATTGAGTGGGCGTGGTGCCCAGCACATGCTCTGCCAAGGAGCCCTGCAGCTCAGGGTGCGGCATGCATGTGAGCCCAGGAACAACGAAGGACTGACAACCAAAAAGAAGGGAAGGCACAGTGAAAATAGCTGCAATCACAGTCCATGTGTGACCAGTACAACAGTCCAGGACAGAGCAAAGAAACAATGGAGCCGGACAGTGTCATCCAACATCTTCATGGGTGACCAAAAGTCCAATGTCCTATTGTATATCCTTTGCCCAAGGCTAAGAGGATCAATGCCTCTCACTGTTACCAGTGTCTCCACTCTCACAATGAAGTATATGACCCAAGATGTGGACCTATTCCAGGGTATGGGGACAGTGTAAAAGATCCACCCATGTCTAGCATCCTTGGACCGTACACACTCAGTCAACTGTGCAAGACAATCCTGGAGCAAAGATTCCCACAACAGGCTGAGCCAGATAAAGATAAGTCAATTGAGAAAGTCTTCTTTCTGGCTGGATTCTATACTTTATATTCTCCATCCAAAAATATAATGGCATCTAGCAAACACTGTGTGAATGGATGAGCAAATAGGAATGACATTGATCCGTCTGCCTGTAAATCATTTATATCTGCAACCATTGTCAATGATTTGTGTAAAGTAGATATTTTGGTTTTTCTTCCAAGATACAAGGATGCATATACACAACTGCCATAGACCAGAGGAAGCTCTGTGTTTCAAGGTCTTCATCACTGTCGAATTTGTCTGGCATATGGCAAAATGTAGGACGAGCCCTAAGATTGCTATCTGGCAGTAGGTTGGTCATATTTTCATTTATGATATGATGAGGATGAGCTCCTTCTAAACAGTCAACAGAAGTTCACAGCTCAGTAGGCCAGTGTCATGACCACTCCAGAAGTAGATGACCTGTGGCCAAACCAAACTGCCTGTTTCTACTGCCAGGAAGCAGTGACCTCAGCTGCATCCCAGGGGCCCAGCGCTTCCCTGTTATTAGCACTTCATGTGAAGCACTGAGGCCAGATTAGCCACCAGAGCCATCCAAGGGAGAGACTATCATAAGGAGCAAAGGCATCTCATCAGGAATCCTCACCAGCACCCGCTGTCATCCAGGAAGGTATTGCTGTTGCCTCCTCTTGCAGGCCCCTGCTGGGGAGCATACACTTGACCTGGTCCTGAAGAGACTGCCATTGCTCCCCAACACCATCTGTACCATCAGAGTGACCTTGTTTATGCACCCAAATCCTGAGCATCTGCCCACAGTCAACAGGCCCAGGGACACTTTTGACATTGGTGTCCCTTTCTTGAAAATTTGGGAACAAAATCAGAATTAGGACCAGAAGATCTGTCCTCATCTCCCTCCAGGCCACACAGGAGTCCTGTGGGTGCTAAGGAAGAAGGAGGAAGCAGCTGCAGGAAGGAGTGGAGACAAAAGGGGGCAGACAGGACTTTCCGAGTCCCCACAAACCTAGTCACAGTTTCTGACTGCTCAAGGGACCCAGCCACTGCCTGCTCTTAGGTGACATTCCTGTCTCCTCCAAGCAAGTCCCCTCTTTTCAGTTCAACTCATTGAATTCTCTAACAGAAACTCCTAATGACTACAGAGTGTGAAAACTGCCCTGATCTAAAGGATCTGTGAAAATGTTAAATATTGTTTAATTATAAAGATGGAGCTACAGACTAGACCCTGTCGCATCCCTCGGGCAGGATCTTGCCTCTGTTTGTACAGCCCCCAGGGAGCGTCACCCAGCTTAGCCAAGGAAAAGGGAGTCCGCGGGGACTGAGCCACACCTGCAAGCCTTTCTCTTACCAAGTCCCGGGGGACTTCCTGGGACAAGGCTGCTCCCCAGGTCCCTCTCTCTGCTCTGTCACTGCTGCCTGCCATCCCACTCTCCTTTGGCACAAGTCCCCAGCCTCCCAGGCTCGCAGTAGGGTAGCATATGCCCCACTTTGTCCTTGTTACAGCTGAAGTGGACTCCTGAGTCCTTTTCCCGCCAAAGATAGGGTTACATCTTAAATGACCTATTGACCAAAAAAGTTGTCTGGCTCCTCTATGGGCTGGAGCCCTCCAAGAACCAATATGCATGAATCATTTAGAAACAGGGAAAAGGGCTTGCCAGAAAAGAACTGGGGGTATGGACATGTGCAGGAGGGGTAGGGATAGCAGAGAGGAGAGCTGGAAAGGATTGGGGGGACACTGGCTGCCTAATTCGCAACCTCAGAACCAAAGTTCTGAATCCCACAGAGTTATACTCATCTTTATTGTGGCCATGAACCATGTGTGGCTATTTGATTTTGTAGTTAAACGAAGAATAATTAAAGCTGGTAAAGGAGTTCCTTGGTGACACTAGCCACATTTCAGGAGATCAGTAGTCACGTGGCGCGGCCATGTCGACAGCATTGATACCAGGAAAGTTTTGTTGCAAAGAGCTGTGATTGCAGACAAATTACTTCCTGTTTCTACACAGGACTCAACATGAATAAGGAAGCAAGAGCCGAAGAGAACAAACCAGCTCCATGGGAATCCCACTTTAAGAGTGTTAGTAGATAGCTGCTAGGCTGCATAATGTCTCAAAGATGGCCAACAGAGGAGAAGTTCCAGCATCCTCCTCCAGGGACCACTCAGACAGACATCCACTAGGGATGAAAGTGAAGGTCTGCCTGGGCTTAGTACATGCGTGGCAACCCCAGGGTCACAGCAGTTATCTATGGCCTGTGTCCTCTAGTTTACAAGTAACAACAGAAGGGGGCATCAGGATTTCTTGCCACGCCATTTGAGTCCCTCGTTTTGTATCGTACAGGATGGAACCCATTCATTTTCTCACCTGCTCATTAGCATTATGAAAGACCCTCTGTGTGGTGGGCTTGTGGGGCCTCTTTTGGAGCCAGCTGATCCCCCAAGCACAGGGGACTTAGAGCAGAGGAGCACCCACTTAGAAGAGACGCCCCAAGGACCACAGCTGTGAAGAAGGGACATGCAGATAGTATAGGAGCGTGTGGGTAGAATTGCCTGCAGAGTGTTGGGCAACAGACAGGGTGGACTCCCAGGCTCATGGGAGTACTGGAGGGAGTGACAGGGAAGGACCAAACCAGGCAATTCCGCAGGCATGTCAAATCCATCCCAATCACACGCCATCGGGGACGTTTGAGATGCAACCACCTCCAGTAATGAACTCCTAGGTGTCTGCTCACTGCACTAACAGTCAGCGACAATGAATCCTGAAACACAGAAGCAAATGTGGAAGAAAGCTGTAGCTTACATGGCCTTGGAGTCTCTGGTAAAGAAGACGCATTCTCGTTTTTTAAAGTTTGTCTGAATAAAATTCACCAAATCCTGTGAAGAAAAAAAAATATGGAGTAATACATTACTCATCTGTTCTCACACCTGCTGGTATTAATGAACACTATCTATGTCCTAGCCTGCCTTCAAAGGCCGCCTTGGCATCCTTTTTGTTTCTTTTAGTGTACTCTGGGTTTATTTTTAATGACACACACATTTAAACTGGTTTTTTTTTGTTGTTGTTTTTTGAGACAAGGTTACTCTGTGTAGCTTTGGAACCTGTCCTGGCTCTCGCTCTGTAGACCAGGCTGGCCTCAAACTCGCAGAGATCCACCTGCCTCTGCCTCCCAAGTGCTGGGATTAAAAACGTGTGCCACCACTGCCCGGCTAAACTGTTTAACTAAATGAAAATATTTCCAAAAGTTGTTTAGAGTTGTCTTGTGTATAAATGGCATCACACACACACACACACACACACACACACACACACACACACACACACACACACACTTTTTCTCTCTTCGCAGTTACCAGGGAACAGAAGTGTTGGATGGTAGTTTGGAATTAGAAAAAACTATCGATGCATATTTTCAGTCCTCTTCTGCCTACTTTCTAAAAAGGAGATGTTTTCCGAAATGTCCTACCTTTGTATTTATTCTACTGTGAACAAAGTAATTAGGCATAACTGGGATCTAGTCCTAAGAACCAGCCCAAGCCTTTATAAGCCAAAGATGTCTCTTATGTTGGCAGAGCAAGACATTTGAAAACACATTCCTCACAGTGAGAGAATTGGCAATAGCTCTGTATCATAAATAGTGACCAAGATACAAAAGGACTGTCAATCAACAAAAACACAGCAGATGGTCCAATGGGAAAGCAGCAAGACAGAGCAGATATGGAAAAAAAGGGGGGGCCCACAGGAAAGCCATAAACACATGAAAAGCTCACCCATGTGGAGAGGCCACTTTACATCCACCAGGCCAACAAAACTTGAAAAAAAATGACGGTTGACAGCCATTGCAGAGGAAGATGAAGGTGAAGGACCTCACACTCCCAATGGGTGAGAGAGCAAATTAGTACTACTCAGGACAATTGCACATGAAGCCATTTCTCCGAGGACCCGTGGGGAGAACGGTTTCCCATGAGCCACCTGCACTCTCTCAATTCATGGAGCTTCATCCTCAGAGATGTCTAGCCCTGATGAAGCGGGGCTGTTAGGGACTTCCCTTCTCCAGACACCCCAGTCAATTGCAAGTCATCAGGTCTGGCAGCTGAAGTCCTCAGAACACTTCCCCCATGGGTGGCCTCACAAGACAGGCTAGCTCTGAAGCCAGCCCTGGCTTCTTGTCCCCTACAGCACAGCCAGCACCAGATACGTGCTGCAAAAGTGGGATTCCTCTCCTGGATGGAGTTCACCATGCACCCCCAACTCCTGCACTGACAAGTTCTCTGGGATCAGCCACTGGGGAGCCTTGCCTCCTTTCTCACACTTTGAACATGAGTGGCCCCATAAATCTCCTTGTTTAAACCCAGACCTATTAAGAGAGACATTCCACCTTCAACTACCAGTCCTCAACACAAAGGACATGGTTTTTCCAGATAGATCCAGAGTACACATCCAAGAACACTGGGTAGTGTCGCTTCCAACATCCAAAGCCAGAAACCCAAGTAAGGTCTCTTTGAGATGGGGTAAACAGAAGCTCGTAGTGGAGTTCCACATAGCAGAGCAAAAAAATTACAGCTGCTATATACATCAACGTAGACCTATCCCCAAAACAGTAGTGTTAAGTGAAAACCAAAGAACTCGCAGAAGAACACTTGTAGAGCACACCTGCACTTGTTGCAAACGGGGACAAAGCCAGCAACACCTTACACAAGGACAAGGTAACACACAGCTCAGGGGAGTGCCTGTGACCTGTGCCAGGACAGAAGACACCCGGGTGGGGGGGGAGGGTGACGGGGGACGACACGGGACTTCACATGGGCACTTTGAAGCATTCTGCTTCTCAGGCTGGAGGTGGCTCCCAGGTAGTCATGGTGATGACCTCTGGAAGCTCAGAAGCAGCATTTCTTCTATGTGTACTCCTCAACGAAACTTAGCATAAACACAGTTCCTATGCTTCTCTGCATAAAAAGCACTGGAAACTCTGTGCTGCTCGAAGTCTCAGCCTTCATCCCACTTCCAGGGGCACCAGTGCCTGAGGCCATTGGCTCTCTGGAGAGAGTCTTCCAGTAGTGCTTCATCACTTGGAGTCAAAGGAGGTGAAGGAGGAGGAGAGAAAGACCTGGACATTCTGGAGAGGTCCCCATTGCCTTTGTCCACTGTTACGGGGCAGCACTAAAGTGAGACATGGGGACTAACTCTAAGGGGGTGTGCTTAGTCCTGGGGGTGTGCAGGATTAGGAGTGGCACCCGAGGGTCCTGAGCACCTCTTCCCTTCATTCCAGCGGTGGAAGGTAGGTCTCAGCTGGAGGAAGGCACAGGCTTCTGCTGCTCCCCTTTGTGAGTTTGCCGACAGCTCAGTGATCCACACGGTCAACCGGTCAGATGAAAAACGATGGCATGACAGGCACCCTGACTCTCCCCGACCCCTGTTCCTTCTCCTTTATAAAGCCGACTTCTATCCCAACACTTCATGCTGTAGTCAGCGGGAGCCAGACATCAGACTGCAGTGTTCTGACAAACGAAAGTGTGTGCCAAGCCTTGCAGTGTGGGGAGCTGGCTGGAGGGGACCACGTGCGGCGTGAGTAAAACTCAGCCTCCTGGTGTCCCGCTAGCCAGTTCCAGTAAGAAGCCGCGGCCTGTTGGCAGTGTCGGCCCTGGCTCAGGAGAGATGGGCCAGAGGAAGCAACCAGGAGACAAAAGCAACTACATTGAGTCAAGGACATGGATGTCATAACTCAGTCCTGAACCCACAAGGTGAGAGGGAAAGTGTCAATCATGGGCAGTGAAATCAACACTAAAACCACGATAAGAATGAAGAGAATAAATGACTCCAGGCTGCCCAGCGCCAGATGGGGCATCTACACTACAACCCCGACGCCTAACACTTGGGGGACATCAGAAAATGGGGAGGGGCAGCTGGGCAGTGGTGGCGCATGCCTTTAATCCCAGCACTTGGGGGAGGCAGAGGCAGGCAGATCTCTGTGAGTTTGGGGCCAGCCTGGTCTACAAAGCGAGTTCCCGGAAAGGCGCAAAGCTACACAGAGAAACCCTGTCTC